AAAAGGAGAGCAAAAAGAAAAGTAAGCACTGCCAGTGACTATGTTTTAGAAAATCTTTATTTCATTAAAAAAAAAAGAACAAATCTAGTATAAATGATATTATCATCTTATTCTGTTATATATACATATATACACACGTATGTATTTTTATATACACACACAAACACATCATTTGTAATATTAGTATGGCAAATACTTAGTATGGATTTTGGCCTTGAATTTGAAACTTGTAAAAGTGAACTATTAGACTTGCCCTCCCTAACCTGAATGACTGTGTGCCATAGGTGGAAGTGCAATATAGTAAAATATACTTAAGAAGAGTACTGATTAGCTCAATGCTGCTACTCTGCAGAACCTGGAAAAAGGTTGAGTAGAAAGACATAGAAAGGAGATGTAAATATTAACAGCAATATTGTAGTAACAAAAGAAGATATGATTTCAGCCTAGGCTCTTCCTTCTACAGGCTTTTAAACATTACAGGAAAGAGCTTCCTATTTAATCCTGATTTAGTACTTTTAATCACTGATCCCAAAGTCATTACATCAAAAAGTTTACATACGAATCATAAATTAAGAGTGGTAAAATAATAAGAGATGTACAACATAAGACTACCATTGGAAGCTGTACCTCAGAAGACTTCAGGATAGTATGAGATAATTAGCAGAACCTATGCGCAGTTCTAGTCAAAGGACTAACACAATCTTTCCATGGGTTTGCAGTGAACATAAATCTCTGTACTTTTATTAACTCTATTTTCCACTCTACATCACTGTTATTAAATTCCATCCCATTCCAAAACCCATAATTAAAGAAGCTGATAAACTAAAGGGGGTGGGAGGAAGACAGAGGGAATAAAGACAAGTGACACAAAATTTACTTTCTAGTCAAGTATCGTTGCTAACTGGAATGCTTTTTTTGTTTGTTTAAAATGAAATATGAGTTACCTGGAAGTTATTAACTTACTTTAAACAAGAATTAATTCAAACAATTCACATGGCCTATCTTCCACAACAGATTTTAAACATGTGGGTCCCCAACTGTTTCTTTTAGGCCTGTAATCTATATTGTTTCCATCATTCCAGCATGAGTAAGCCTAACTCAAGTATTACTATTTTTCCCTCTTTTTCAAAAACCTCGTCACTTTTAAGAGCAGTCTTAACACCACTGGATTAAATGTTTTAATGAGGTGTTAAACTGAGCACTACTGCATGATACTAATGCGAAGGAATCAACCAACATAATGGCACAGTTGAAGGTGTAACAAAAGTGGTGTTAATATTGCAGGAGTCTCCTCTTCACATTGGAAAGCAGAAATGATCACATGATTATTAAAGCAGATTTGTCAACTCTTCTCCTATACACAGGTCAGTTTACAACATTAGAAGATGACTCTGATCACTGAAATGCTACACTACCACCTCAACCATGAAGTATTTCTCAAGTATCAAATTAAGCAGAGACTAAGCTCAAACCAAAGTTTCAGCACAATTCATAAAAAAAACTACAAAAAACAACAACAACAAAAATTTTTAACAAGACATTTAAAAACATTAAAGTCTTAAGTACTCTACACTAACTACT